CTTTTTTACAGCTACAGTAACCAATACTGTGTGGTATTGGCAGAAGGGAAATCACAGAGATCAATGGAAGAGAAGAGAGAAACCAGAAGTAGTCCCCACACAAGTACAGCCAACTGAGTTTTTACAAAAATGCAACATTAATTCAATGGAAACAGAATAATCTTTTCAATAAATGATGCTGAAGCCACTGGCCACCCATAGGCAAAAATAATAATTTTAAAATATTGACCTGAAACTCTCACACCTTATATAGAACTTAACTAAAAATGAAACATATATTTAAATGTAAAACATTTAGCATATGACATAAGAGAAAGTCTAAATCTTTGAGATCTAGGACTTAATAAAGAGTTCTTAGATGTAATCCCATAAATTAAAAAAATTGACTAGTTAGACTTCATCAAAATTAAAAACTTTTCTCTGCAGAAGATCATGTTAAGAGGATGAAAAGACAAGTGACAGACTGGAGAAAATACTTACAAACCTCATATCTGATAAAAGACTCATATCTTGGAACTTTAAAAAATAACTCAAATGTCAAAAGTAAGACAAGCAATCTAATTAGAAAATGGGTAAAAGACGTGAAGGAACATTTCACTGAAGAAGACTGACAGATGGAAAATAAGTACATGAAAAATGTTCAGCCTTTAGGGAAAGGCAAATTAAGCCCACATTAAGATATTAGTGCATATCCATTCGAACAACTGAAATTAAAAATTGCAACAATACAAAATGCTGACAAAGATGAGGAAAAACTGGATCTCTCACACCTTGCTGGTGGAATGTTAAATGGCACAACTCCTGTGGAAAAGTGTTTAGCAGTTTCTTTAAAAAATGAACACATATCATATGACCCAGTAATTGCACTCCTGGGCATTTATCTTCAAGATATGTAAGCTTATGTGCACACAAGTCCTGTACATGATTATTCATAGCAGCGCTAATGTAATAGTCATGGAACAGTTCTGCATTTTGATTGTGCTGCTGGTTTCACCAATCTACTTGTGTGATAAAATGACATACACTAAACACAGGTGGCTCATGGTAAAGAATTCACCTGCCTATGCAGGAGATGCAGGGGATGTGGGTTTGATCCCTAGGTCAGGAAGATCCCCTGGAGGAATAAATGGCAACCCACTCCAGTATTCTTGCCGAGAGAATTCCGTGGACAGAGGAGCCCAGTGAGCTACAGTCCCTGGGGGTCATAAAGAGTCAGACACAGCTGAGCAACTGAGCATACACGTGCACACAAACTAAACACACACAGTGTCCAAGTCAACTGCCTGGTTTTGATATTATGCGCTGTGTGCTGTGCTGTGCTTGGTCACTCAGTCAGGTCCGACTCTCTGCGACACTAAGGACTCTAACCTGCCAGGCTCCTCTGTCCATGGGGCTTCTCCAGGCAAGAATACTGGAGTGGGTTGCTATGTCCTCTTCCAGGGGATCTTCCCAACTAAGGGATTGAACTCAGGCCTGCCACATTGCAGGCGGATTCTTTACCATCTGAGCCAGCAGGGAAGCCCAAGAATACGGGAGTGGGTATCCTATCCCTTCTCTAGGGGATCTCTAGGGTCTCCTGCATTGCAGGAGGATTCTTTACCAGCTGAGCTACCAGATAGTTAAATATGATGCAACCCCATGAATGGCATATACGACTTGTCTGGACTGTCTTTACAACTTCCTGTGAATCTTTATTTCAAAATAGAAAGTTTTAAAAAATAACCTAAAATTTTTTTAAATGGATGACAGTTCCATTGAAACTCCCTAATTACTCATAAATACTTTTGAAAACCATTTTATAAAGACCTTTATTGCAGTTTGGGGTAAAGCTGGGACAGACAGTTGTTTAAATCAGAAGTTTCGGTGAGAATTTAGAGGTTTAAATCATAGGTTAAGACCTCAAAAAGAGAATCAAAGAACAAACCACAGGGTCGGAAAATATATTTGCAGCCCATGAACTGTAGACTAAAAAATTCCTATAGGTTAGTAAGAAAAGGACAAACAACCCAATGGGAAAAGCCTCAAAAGATCAGATGATTTGCAGGAGAGGAAATCCAAGTGACCAAACATAACATGAAAAGATCTTCAATCTCACCAGTAATCAGGGAAATGCAAATTAAAACCACGAGATACTACTACACACCCACCAGACAGATAAAAATTATGAAGTCTGATAATGCTAAGTGTTAGCAGGGATTGGTGCAAAAAGAATTCTCATATGCTGCTAATTGGACTCCTATCACTCTCAAAAAGTTTTATAAATCTAGTACTATGGACCAAGATGGATATGAGTTCGAACAAGCTCCGGGAGTTGGTGATAGACAGGGAAGCCTGGTGTGCTGCAGTCCATGGGGTCACAAAGAGTCGGACATGACTGAGCATCTGAACTGAAGGACCAAGATACATACTTCAGCACCTTTATTCCTAGGTTTAAAGAAAGTAAAGAAAGAAATGTGCTTATGTACACTGAGATACATAGACAAAAATATCCAAATATTATTCTATCTAAGAGCCCCAAATTGGAAGTAACCCAATTGTCCAGGAATATTAGAATGGATAAACAAACTGTGATACAGTCCTTCAATAGAAGAACATTTAACAATGGAAATCAACTCAAGATAAATGCCACACATGGATGAATCATAAAGATACAATGTTGAGTGAATGGGGGAAGGAAAATATAGAACTGATATAGTGTGATTCCAGTGGTCTGAAGTTCACAAGCAGCCAAATTAAACCATGTTCTTGGGTAGCAAAACTATAAATAAGAGCAAGGAAGTGAACACCGTAAGAATCTAGATGTGGTTAGCACTAGCAGAGGGAGGGTTTTTAATCTGGAAGGAACACAAGAAGGGCTTCCGGGGAGCAGAGTGTGTTCTATTTCTTGACATGAGTAGGGTTCCGCAGGTGTTCATTTTACAGTTTGTTAAACAGAGGAGCCTGGCAGGTTGCAGTCCATAGGACTGCACAAAGTCCGACACAACTGAAGCAACTTAGCTCACATACACGCAAACTTTACGTGCATGCATTTTTTTCTGTATATTTCAAAATGTTGAAAAGATTTTATATTGTTTCCAAAAAGAAACTTTATACAAATCAGTGTACTGCATCTTTAGATAAGACTTTATTAGTACTTTCCCTCCTATATTTAAAAAAATTTTTTATATATATATTTGACATTTTCTTGAAACAATGTAGGACTTTATGTCATTATTACTGATATTTTGTCTCCAGGGTCTTTGCCTTTTTTAAGAAAAAAATTTATTATTAATTGGAGGATAATTGCTTTATTTGAGTCTGTTCTAGTTAACTGGATGAACCTAGAGCCTGTTATACAGAGTGAAGTAAGTCAGAAAGAGAAAAACAAATACTATACACTAACACATATACATTGTGTTACGTGAGCGCTTAGTTGCTCAGTCTATCCAACTCTTTGCGACCCTGGATTCTACCTGTCAGGCTCCTCTGTCCATGGAATTTTCCAAGCAAGGATACTGGAGTAAGTTGCCATTTCCTCCTTCAGGGGATCCTGACCAGGATCGAACCAGTGTCTCTTAAGTCTCCTGCATTGGCAGATGGGTTCTTTACCACTAGCATCACCTGGGAAGCCATGTATGTGGCACCTAGAAAAATGGTACTAAGGAACCTATTTGCAGGACGGGAATAGAGACGCAGACAAAGAGAACAGACTCGTGGACACAGCAGGGGAAGGAGAGGCTGGGACGAATTGAGAGAATAACATTGAAACATATACATTGCGTGCATCCATGCTTAGCTGTTCAGTCTGTCCAACTCTTTGCGATCCTGGACTGTAACCCACCAGGCTCCTCTGTCCATGGAATTTTCCAGGCAAGAATACTGAAGTGGGTTGTCATTTCCTACTCCAAACATATACATTATCATATGTAAAACAGATAGCTAGTGGAAAGCTGCTGTGTAACACAGGAAACCTGAGAGGGGAAGGAGGGAGTGGGGAGTGGGAGGAGGTTCAAGAGGGAGGAGACACGCTATACCTATGGCTGATCCATGTTTTTGTGTAGCAGAAGCCGACACAAGAGTGTAAAGCGATTATCCTCCTATATTTTTAGCAACTTACAAGTAGACACTCTCTAATCATATTATCATGGTCTGGGCTACATTACAGAGTTCTTGGAGCGACCCTCTTGTATATGAATTCCTCTTAGTAAGTTTTTCCTGTTATCTAAGGTTCTGTCCTCCACAAGTAAAAAATGCAGATTGCCTCCATCTATATGCCCTTTGGAATAAATATTAATAGCTTTTGTTTAGTGAATATTGACTCTGCTAGACACTTGCTGAGTTCCTTATAGAAATAGAATCTTGTGTAGTGAGTGGAACCCATCATTGAAATTTCTCATTTAATCCAGATCAGTGTCCTAATAACTCATCCCATTAAAACCACTTCAAACTCTCTTCTAGTTCTCTAGGCCTACTTCTAACTGTGGGTCTAGCTCAGGCCAAGGTCATTCATCAGCCAGAGGAGTCGTGCTAATGGGGCAATGTTGTTTTTCATTGCTCTTTGTCAGTATCCTGTATTCACAATTGAGTGCACACACACACACACACACACACACACAGAGTTGTCCAAGGCTGCAGCATACTTAAAGTGGTAATTTTCCCAGAATCTTTGGGCTATGTTCTGCCATCACTAAACTTTCTCCAACTCAGCCATGGACCTTTGGGGCTGGGTCACTCTTTGTTGTGGGGCTGTCTTGTGCATATAGGATTTTAGCAGCATTGCTGACCTCCACTCACTAGATACCAGAGCGCAGCACCCCCTCCACCACCTCTTAGACTGTGACCATCAAACCTGTCTCCTGACATTGCTGAGTGTCCCCTTGGGACCAAATTGTCCCACTTGATACCCACTGTGCTATACTAACCTAACTTCTGTAATTAAAAAAAAAAATCATCTTTCTCTTTCTACTGCAAAACGTCTAGCCTCAGAAAGCTCATATCTCACACTTTTATATTCATCTTACGTTGTTTGAATATATACAGGAGCTTCTTTCTGCCCTGTTTAACCACAGAGAAACGGAGAATCACGAAGGATGCCAGGCACAGCATGGCAGCTGATAACAGGGCAAGGAAGAAGATGATGATCTTGGAAGTGAGACCTGTAGAAAAAGACCAAAAGGAGAAATATCATCTGACACCCCTCATATTTGGAATCTTAAAAGTAATGATACAAATGGACTTACAAAGCAGAAAGAGACTCACAGACTTAGATAACGAACTTATGGTTGCTGGGAGAAGAATGGGGGAAGGGATAGTTAGGGAATTTGGGATGGTCATGTATGTACTGCTATGTTCAAAATGGATAACCAACAAGGTCCTACTACATAGCACATGGAAGTCTACTCAATGTTATGTGGCAGCCTGGATGGAAGGAGGGTGTGGAGGAGAATGGATACATGTATATATGTACGGCTAAGTCCCTTAGATGTTCACCTGAAACTACCACAACATTGTTACTTGGCTATACCCTCAATACAAAATGAAAAGTTTAAAGTTTGAAAAACAAAAAAGAGCAAAAGGAAAACTGAGGCAAAAATATAATTTTCCAAATATGCTGATGTAAACTTGCATTTGTAAACTCTTCACCATGAGAAGAGGTGCTTCAGGCATCTCCCACCAGCTCTCTTAGTAAACTTGCCTGCTTGCTTGTTAAGAAAACTTAAAACACACACAGACACACACACACACACACACACACACACAAACCCCTTAATAATGCTGTTCCTTTGTTGTTTTTTAGTGACTAAAAAACACTGTCTGACTCTTTTTCAACCTCATGGACTGTAGTCTACCAGGCTCCTCTGTCCATGGAATTCTCCAGCCAAGAATACTAGAGTGGGTTGCCATTTCCGGGGATCTTTCTGACCCAGGGATTGAACCCACATTTCCTGCATTGGCAGGCAGATTCTTTATCACTGAGCCACTAGGGAAGCCCAATAATTTTCCTAGAAACCCACAAAATTAAGTGGTTTGGCCTTCTAGGATATAGGAAACATGGGACTCTATCACCATTGTTATTTGGTAAGATCAAAGGGGTTAGTGTCTGTTTGGATCCAATCTCACCTTGCTCTGTTCACTAATATGTAGCCCAGACTGAATAATAAACACTGATGAAAGGAATGGGTCCCTTGAAGCCAGGGTAAGAGAAAGAAGGCGTGTCAGAGGTGCCTGCTATAGATTGACATGCAAGACATCAGGACATTGGGGTGATTCAGAGGCCAACCAGAATGGCCATGATACATTCACTTATTTAACAGCAACAAACCAGCTACCTGGCTCTCTCCCAGGGGCAGGCACGATGGTGGACGATGCATCTGGAGAGAAGTCAGGTGATGGTGGTCCACATACTACGTCACTTTCCTTCGTCCCGTTTACAAGGACAGCCTTTCCATTCAAAGAACAGCTTAGAGGGTCCAATGAAAAGAGTTCAAATAATTAATTCAAGTACAGATCACTATAATTTTAAAAGACTGACATTTTCTACTTGATTAAGCTGTTCTAGTGACAAAGGTATGTGGATCTGGGTTTATAGGCAAAGCAAGGATATTTTGAAAAACTTGACTGAACATTGGGCTTCCTCCAGTGTTCACTTGGCTTTCATGGCCCTTCACAATCCATCTCACTCTACCTGCCTAACTGGCTTCTTCTACCTTCCTAGTCTGGAGGGTCCTGGCCCAGGATAGCCTACATCAGGCTGTTGCCTGGTTAGTCTGTCACCTCCACCTTCTTAAGTGCATTTGAGCATCTCTGGCACAGACAGGACCAACAACTTAGCACAGGGTTGTAGTAGTGGTGTGTGTGATAGTTGCTCAGTCATGTCCGATTCTTTGTGACCCCATGGACTGTAGCCAGCCAGGCTCCTCTGTCCATGGGATTTCCCAGGCAAGAATACTGGAGTGGGTAGCCATTCCTTTCTTGAAGAGATCTTCCCAACCCAGGGATTGATCCCTGGGTCTCCTTCATAAGGTTAGGATCTCCTAACCCCATGATGTGTTGGCATATGACAGATCAGAGTTTGAGTCCTGAGTTGGTCTTTTTGCAGAATGATCTTGAGCAAGTTAGGAAATTTCTCTGCAGCTCATCTGAAAATAAGATATCCATGTCCCAGGGCTGTTGTGAAGAGTAAATGACCCTATGTGCCTGGTTCACTCCCTATTAATGGTGCCCATAATCATTGTTGGGGCTTCCCTGGTAGCTCAAATGGTAAAGAATCTGCCTGCAATGCAGGAGACCTGGGTCCAATCCCTAGGTTGGGAAGATCCCTGGAGGAGGGCATGGCAACCCACTCCAGTATTCTTGCCTGGAGAATCCCCATGAATAGATGAGCCTGGTGGGCTAAAGCCTATAGGATTGCAAAGAGTCAGACAAGACTGAGCAACTAAGCTGTTTGTGGTCATCATCAATATCATCATCATTGTTCTATGTCTCTCCCCTGTCCTTTACCTAACATGAACCCACTCATTCCCCAAAGCCAGTTCAATCCCACTTTCCACACAAACTCACTTCACTGCTCAGAACTATTTGTGTCAAAAGACAAAAAACAAAAATAAAAAAACAAAACTTCCTAATGTTCTATCAATCAATACTTTTGTAAAACACAATAAGAATGTAAATGTAAAATAATAATAAAAATGATCTTGTAAGAAAATAAAATGGAAAAAGAACAAAGGCATACAAAATACACTGTTGGCTGTTTGACTGCCTGGGATGGTCTTATTTGCCCAGGTCTATGTTAATGATTCTGAGAAAAGGAAACATACTTTACCCTCTTCTATATCATTATCAGTGCTGGCACGAGCACTTGAAGATGGACTGATCAATAAGGAAAGATTAGAGGCAGCAAAGAGATTGGAGGGAGACAGAAGAACCCTTGGGGCAGACAGTAACTAAGTTCCACTGGCAAATCTGACTTAGCTGTTCTGGGCATTACTCCTGGAGAAAATGCCCATTTTGGCAAACCAGTCACAATGACCTCATACCATTCCCATGCTGCCTATTTGCACAGTTACTCTATATTTACACTTGACAGATTTAAAACAGCATCAGTGAGTGGGAGAGAAGTTCAAGAGGGAGGGAACATATGCATACCTATGGCTGATTCATGTTGATGCATGGCAGGAAACAACACAATGTTGTAAAGCAATTATCCTCCAATTAAAATAATTAATTAATTAAAAAATTTAAAAGCATCAGTTAGAAAAGTTAACCCAGACATTTTACTTTGTAAGCAAAAAAGAAATGATACATACTCTGTCCAAGGTCGACAGATGCCATGTTCCCGATCATTAAATGTCCCAAAAGAGCAGTCTTTACAACCTTTTATAAAAATTAAAGGAATAATAAAAGGAAGCATTTTTATCATTTTAAACTTTCCCTGAGATGAACATGATCTCATAACAATAAAGTCACTAGTTTAATATGATCTGTGCTGATTATCCAACAATTCTCCCTGAATTTCATTAGTGATAAACAATTCTTCTCAAACAGTATATGATAAATATAAGCCCGTAATAAAGTTATTAGCTTAATACAATCTACACAGATTGTTGAATAGCTTTTCTTGAAATGAAACCCTAATAGGACTAAAGGTTTTATTCTAATTATATGTAGAGTATTGTATATGCAGGAAAAAGCATGTTTCTGGTGAAAAATGTTGTCATCTCAAGTTATTTCCATTGGCTGAAAAGTAATTTTGCAAATATCAGATATGTGACTCCATGGTTCATTATTTATTACTTAAAGGTTCTACAAATCTGTTTTATAATCAAAGGACCATGAACTAAGCTAATGATGTAAGTCTCGATAATAAATATGCACCCTACAAGAGGAAACTTACCCTCATTTGTTAACTCTTGGCCTTGTTTACAGTCCTTTTCACACATGGTACATCCTACCCCTTGGCAGTGGAATCCCGAAATGCATTCACACTCTGCATTGCTGGTGGGGGAACACGGCTTCTTGATCCTGAAAATACCTACAAAGTCCGTCAAGGTTACACTGACCCTTGACCTTCAAATACAGGAAGCAAATTCATGTTCTACAATAAAAACTATGCTCGTTCTACTTATAACGTTCCTTAACGACCTCAGGGGCTTTCCTGGTGGCTCAGTGGTAAAGAATCATCCTGCAATGCAGGAGACTCGGGTTCAGTCCCTGGATTGGGAAGATCCCTTGGAAAAGGAAATTGCGACCCACTCCAGTATTCTTGTCTGGGAAATCTCATGGACAGAGGAGCCTGGTGGGCTATGGTCTACGGGTCATATAAGAGTTGGTCTCGACTTAGCAACTGAATAAACAATGACCTCAGAGTACAAAGCTCACTTTTAAATAACTAAAGAAGACATTTTACATTCTGCTATTAAAAAAATTCTCTCTTGTCCAATGAAAGTTTCCTCTAATATTTAAAAAGCTCAATCCACCACTGTTGGCTGTTACAGTAAATTATTTTACTGGACCCTGCCTATTGACAGAGGAATCAATTGACCTGACACTTCAGACTTTCAAACAAGATCAGTACACTAGGGAATAAAAAGTTGTCTTCCCAACACATATCGGCATAAAGACTACATTTTTTAAATCATACCTTCACACTTTCTGCATATGTCACAGGACTTCTGTCCACTTGTGCTGGAGAAACTATTTAAAGGACAAGAAATGCAAGACTCCTGACTGTTTTTCCCACAGAAAGTACCTAAAAAGGGAAGATAAGAGCTGTTCATGTTTTTCAATGGACAGTCATCACCTGAAGTATTATAAGGTTCACAAGAAAATCAGAATACGAAATAAAGATTAGATTTCTATGTTGTAACATAGCAACAGACTTTATTTGTTGACCGACTGTTTTAAATTATCCATTTGGGGCTTTCCTGGTGGCTCAGTGGTAAAGAATCCACCTTCCAATGCAGGAGATATGGGTTTGATCCCTGATCTGGGAAGATCCCGCATGCCTGGGAGCAACTAAGCTCATGTGCCACAACTATTGAGCCTGTGCTCTAGAGCCCACGAGCCACAACTACTCCAGCCCAAGCACGCTAGAGCTCATGCTCTGCAAAAAGAGAAGCCACTACAATGAGAAGACTGTGCACCGCAACTAGAGAGGAGACCCCGCTTATTACAACTAGAGAAAAGCCCACACAGCAACGAAGACACAGTACAACCAAAAAAAAAAAATCCATTTGCAAGGTTGCCCTAAGTGTAATCATAGAATTAAAAATAGCAAAGTATAGATATAGCAACAAACAAATCAACAGAAAAAAATAGTTTTCTTTATCTATTGAGTAAAACAGAATTTCTCTTGATTGATCTGGGAGACCAGTATGACTGGATTAAGGGGGAGATCAATGTCCTTTATTGGCACACTAACATTTAAATGTGTCTGCCTTTTCCCACTCTGTTAAGCCACTTGCTTATTCCTTGCTGCACCACCAACCTCATACACCAAGCTATTTGTTGAGGTCTTTTCCTGTACTGTGCACTGATCTAAGCACATCATACAGTCCTTCCAGGAATCAATCCTATGATAGGTCCTCATATCACCCCCACATGACAAAGCTGAGGCACAAGAGATTAAGTGACAAGGCTATGTTCACACAGCTAAGATGCAGCATCCAAGAAATATTTGTAAATGAATGAATAAAAGATATTAATGGAGGGGAGGGATAAATTAGAAGTATGGGATTAATAGATACACTGCAATATGTATATGTGTGTGTGTGTGTGTTTGTGTGTGTATATATATATATATATATATATATATATATATATATATATATACATGTAAAGATCCCCTGGAGGAGGGCATGTCAACCCACTCCAGTATTCTTGCCTAGAGAATCCCACGGACAGAGGAGCCTGGTGGGCTACAGTCCATGGGGTCACAAAGAGTTGGACATGACTGAAGCAACTTAGCATAAACAAGCACAGATATACATATATGTGTGTGTGTGAATCATAGAAGCTCCCCTGGAGAAGGGAATAGCTACCCACTCCATATTCTTGCCTAGAGAATTTCATGGACAGAGGAGCCTGGCCGACTACAGTCTATGAGGTCGAAAAGAATCAGACATGACTGAGCAGCTAACACACTGAAACTAATGCAATGTTATAAATCAACTATAGTTTAATTTTTTTAAAGGATCATTAAAACAGAGCTCATTAGCTCTGACTACCAGACTAACCGGACCATGTTTTCAACAGATCAAGCACACGTGATAATTTGGTTCTTACCTGCTGAACAGTTACAGAAATCCTGCAATGATCGTGTCCTCTCAAAATTCATGACCAATAGCACAGTAGCCACTATGTTGTAATAGCCATTTCCCATGATGAAATCTTGCATGGATTAGCCAAGCAGAGTCCAACAGAATTTTAATCAAAGTATCTGGTTTCACAAATACCCACTCTGCAGAAGGTAAAAATTTTCAAGGATGAGGTGGTTTCTCTTTTCGTAATTATCAACAGTTCACCTATTTATTACCTGTGCATTTCTACAAGATCACAACTCAGGGGTTTTCAAGAGCAATTAATGATGGAATACCATAGAAAATGTAGTGAATTCATAGAAACTTCTATGATAAGACCTGCATGACTAAATGCACAGCTTTGTGCAGATTTGCCAAAGTCTATGAGTGCACTTTCCAACATGCTTTGCCAAAATGCAGAAATAACAATAGCAAGAACTTTTGGGGACTTTCATAGTTATTTAGCATTAGCATCTAGATTTCAACAATGGCAGCGGTGTACTGTCCCTGAAATAACAGTCCTTAAAAAGAGAATCCGACAGTTCAGCTCCACGAGAGGACACCTCATTATTAAAATTCCTTTGTCCAAACAATATGTGGAATTACACCTAACTGCTAAAATGTTGAAAGATTGCCCTGCTGAACTCACTATCACACTTTTCTTAATAGTTATGCATTTGTTCAATTTGAGATTTGAAGTCATAAAACTAGAGTCCAACAATCTCTAGAGACCAGGTTCCTGGTCTTTATTTAATGGGCTGTGGAGTGAAAGTCATTAGAAATTAGAAGGGAAGAAAGTCTAGAAATGTACAAAGGGAACAAAGACCCCATCCTCATCCCTACTCCATCCCTCCCCTCCTCCCCCCACCATCTGCCCCAAATGGACAAACCTGGAGATGGCAGGGCTGCTGAAGAACTTTGCTTCTCCTTGATCTTCAGAGCACTGAGATTCTGCAGCTGAGAAGAGCTGCAGGTCAAAGACTCTCAGAGGGGAGTTTGGTGACTCAGCCGGGGGCGGGGCCTCGTGGGAAATCCCCAGAGATGGCTCTGTGAGGTATAATAGCTCACTTGGTATTTGCTGACCTTAAAGTCCTCTAGAGCGTCTGTCCCCACTTGATAACGCAATTCAAACTAAAAGCAGCCCCCTACTGTTAGGGTATTTTTGTTTGTTTGTTTCAGATGACTTTGGCAAACGGATTTTTGTCACTTGAAAGTAGTTCTCCATGCCAAAGCTTTTAAGGCACCCTCAATGTATTTGAAGCCCTCAACTGGCTTCCCTTGTAGCTCAGTTGGTAAAGAACCTGCCAATGTAGGAGACCCAGGTTCGAAGATCCCCTGGAGAAGGAAATGGCAACCCACTCCAGTATTCTTGCCTGGAGAATCCCATGGACAGAGGAACCTGGCCGGCTATAGTCCGTGGGGTTGCAAGAGTCGGACACGACTTAGCAAGTAAACCACCACCAATGTATTTGAGATTAGAGGGAAGAAACCCACTTCTAAAGAAAGATCAGCATTCCTGTCAATTACTACCTCTTAACCCTATAATAACAGGGTTAATCATTATAGTACTAGTGATGCTATAGCTATAATTTATTTACTGCAGCTGATGATCCAGGTACCAGAGAAGTAACTAAGCTGCAAATGATCCCTAAGAGTTGATATGATGATGATGAGGAGGAGGGCATTATGCAAATAAGAACGTTGGAGCTATGAGTCTGGCCAGATTATCAGCAGGTTGAACCAAGGAAAACTCAGCTCTTTTGACTGTGCACCTTGCTGCGTGGGTGAGATGGAAGAAGGAGAACGAAATGGAGGGGAACTGGAGACAAAGGAAACAGAATTTATGTGGCCGGTAACTTCATTGGGTGACGCTGTGATCTATGAAGGTTTTTGTTGTTATTGTTGTTTGGTCAATAAGTTGTATCTGACTCTTTGTGCCCCCACGGACTGTAGCCTGCCAGGCTCCTTTGTCCATGGAATTTTCCAGGCAAGAATACTGGAGTGGGTTACCATTCCCTTCTCCAGGGGATCTTCATGACCTGGGATCAAACCCACTTCTCCCGCCCTGACAGGCGGATTCTTTACCACTGAGTCACCTGGGAAGCCCATGAAGAATTTTAGAAAATCATTATTTCAAAAAAAAAAAAAGAATAAGAGGATCAGGAGAGGAGGAGGAGCAGGAAGAGGAGGAAGGTGCTTTCAAAATGCTAAAACACTGAGTCCAGGTAGGGGCCCTCAGGAAGGCAAGTAAAGCAACTAAGAGGAAGAGTGATTTCCAGTAAGACAAATGTTTTTCTATCAGACCCAAACAGTTTCCATCCCTGGGTCAGGAAAATCCCCTGGAAAAGGAAATGGCAGCCCACGCCAGTATTTTTGCCTGGAGAATTCCATGAACAGAGGAGCCTGGTGCGCTATGGGGTCCATAAGGTCACAAAGAGTCATACCTGACTGAAGTGACTTAGCATGCATGCATGTGTGCTTAATACATGTCCTCTTTCAGGGGATCTTACAAACATCAGGCATCAAATCCAGGTCTCCCACATTGCAAGTGGATTCTTTACCATCTGAGCCACCAGGGAAGCCCCTTACATGTTTCCACAACTCCTATTATGCCATCAACCTCCTTAGAAATGTTCATGGCTCCCTGTTGTGTACAAAAGAAAACCTGGACTCTGTAGACCAGTATTTAAGGACTTTCCAGATCTGATCTGAAGTTGTTTAAAAAAAAAAAATATATATATATATAGTCACCCTTTGTACATAAATTACTGTACATAAATTACACCTGTTTAAATGTGTACATTTCAGTGGAGTTTAGAATATTCACTATATTGTGCAGCCATCACCAGTATATCATTTCAGAACATTTTTGTTAGTCCAAAAGGAAAATCTGTATATCCATTAGCATCACTCCTCAATCCTCCTTCCCCCAGCCCTTGGTAGCCACTAATCTACTTTCTGCTGCAGTGAATTTGCCAGTTCTGGACATTACATATATTTATACATAAAATCATATGCAAACTGGTCTTTGGTGTTGGACTGCTTTTACTTAGTATAGTATTTTCAAGGTTCTTCCATGATGCAGCATGTATCAGTATTCCCTTCCTTTTTCAGGGCTTAATACTATTCCATTCTGTAGGTTTACCACATTTTGTTGATCCATTCATCAGTTGATGGACATTTGAGTCATTTCCACTTTTTGACTGTTACAAATAACGCTGCTATGAAGATCATTGTACAAAGCTTTGTATGAACATGTTTTCAGGTCTCTTGAGTGTGGAATTGCTCCATTCTGTGGTCATCCTGTTTCACTTTTTGAGGGATTACCAGGCTGTTTCCCACAGCAGCTGCAGCCTTTTACATTCCCACCAGCAATGAATAAGGGTTTCAAATTCTCCATATCCTTGCTACCACTTCTTGGTTTTCTGTGGGTTTTTCTTTTTCAACAACAACAAACTTTTTTATTATAGCCATCCAAGTAGGTGTCAAATATCTCATTGTGGTTTCGATTTGTTTCTCATGCCCCAATTTTATCAACCTCACCCACACCCCATGAAAGGGGAAGAGTAGAGTATAGCACGTGGTTAAGAGTCCAAGCTTTCTTGTCAGGGTGATCTGAATCAAATCTAGGTTTTGCCATCTTGATGGTCATGCAAATTTGGGCAAGTTTCTTGGGTTCACTCAGTCGTGTCCGATTCTTTGCAACCCCATGGACTGTAGCCTAAAAGGCTCTTCTGTCCATGGGACTTCTCAGGCAAGAATACTGGACTGGGTTGCCACTTCCTCCTCCAAGAGATATTCCTGACTCATGGATCGAGCCCACGTCTTCTGTGTCTCCTGCGTTGGCAGGTAGATTCTTTACCACTGTGCCACCTAGGAAGCTCCCACACTACACTTAACCTTAGCCAAAAGACCGAGAACCTCCCTAAATCTCAGCTTTTCCAACCATACCTTACAGATACAGGAATATTGTACCTCATCTTCATTTAGAGAGGATTAAATGAAACAGTGAATATGAAGTGCTTAGTTCAATGCCTGGCACATAGTTCTCAAGAAAGGAGTAACTGTGATTATAAGCCTTATTGTTACAAAATTTTCCCTCCCTAGTATCCCATAGCAATGATCAGTAAAGCAACCAGGGCATGTGGCAAGAGAGAAGAAGAAAAATGCCTGGGCTATCTACGAATTTATTCCTAGATTCTGAGCATCATCTGAGAGTCATTCTCCCTGTGATAACTGTGGGAGCCCCTCCACCAACTTCAGCAGAGTTGGCCAAATGTAAGAGCATCACAATGTAGAAATTGCACTGCTGATAATTTCCTAACACTTTCAACGTCACAGCCTAACCTCATTTACATGTGGGGTTCTGGGTTTAACATGTAAGTCTGACATTTAACTGGACTTATATTTTTATTTAACTCAATGCTACTTGCTAATTTACATTTTGGATATTCTGTGGGCAGAGGTATTACCTCCCCTGAAAGTGATTATGTTTCGTTTCCTAGCACAGGAATTAGCTCACTTTTTGAATCTTGGCCAATGACATAAGAGTTTTTACTGAGCTCAAAAGATTCTCAAGATTAGTTTTACCAGCTTACAGTTAAACGAAATCAACCACTTCAGAATTATTCAACCAAAGACTGTGCACAGATGGCTTCATTCAGATGTGTCAAGAGGTTTATAACGTTCACATTACTGCATTCTTGTTTGATAAAATCATAATAGGAGGCTAAAGCAATTCTATTGCTAGCTAGATGCTCATAATGTTTAAGCTAGCCAAAAATATAATACTTTTTTAGTACAATTTTCATTTGCCTTAAAATATATATCACATTGCTTTATTTATTCTAGCCTTCTAAACTGTCCAAGGGAACAACAAAAAAATCATCTCTTCTGAAAAGCCTTCCCAAACTAAATCAGAGATAACCCCAACAAAGTATCAACACTAACAACATCAGCAAAAATATTTGTTTCACCATATTGTAAACATCTCATTCTAAGCCAGAGCAGAGATTTTAATTTGATTGGTTGTGGATCTAAGATTGAATATCTCAAGTGAGCATAGTTTGAGGCTAAACAGCATGAAGGTTCAACTACTCTAAATAAGATAAAAGACAATACTTAGAGAAAGAGAAATAGACCCTCAAAATAAGCTTCCTATAAAATATGCTCCTGTCCTGCCAGCACACATATTAGAAGTAATCTCAACCATAGATTATTCACTATCTGCACTTGTTATTTCTCCAAAGTGAAAGTGAAAGTGGTTCAGTCATGTCCAACCCTTTATGACCCCATAGACTATACAGTCCATGAAATTCTCCAGTCCAGAATACTGGAGTGGGTAGCCGTTCCCTTCTCCAGGGGATCTTCCCAACCCAGGGATCGAACTGGGATCTCCTAAATTGCAGTCAGATTCTTTACTAGCTGAGCTACCAGAGAAGCCCCTATTTACCCAAAGGTGAATTTTTTAAAGGTTCAGTGTCCCCACCCCTTCCCCAAGCATCTATCCATCCAGCACAGGGAACAGTCTCTGTTAGGGATAGTCGAGGCTCGTGATGCCAATAGGAGTTCTGACACGTGGGAAGGGGTCAACTAAAAAGGAAATAGAAAAGAGAAAGTGATTGGGAAATCAGAGGAAGAAAGCAGAGTGGAGCAAAGAAGGAAGCACATATTGTAAAGAAAAGCGGGACGTCAGCAGCCCTCAAATATGCTGGCTTTTCCTCCCTCTTCACGCTTTCTCTGTGTGATAGCCAGGTCTCTGTGAGCGACCCATAGATCTGTGACTCCAACCTCAGACCACCTCCAACGATGCAGCACCCAGGACAAGAGGGCAAAGGAAGGCCCGCATTGCATATGTCCAGATACTCAGAAGAAACACATCCAGCTAAACACACTGTTGCATAAAATCCATTCTGTCCAGGGCAGGGCCCCACAGATCCAACACACACAA